GGGACGGGTGGGCGGGCTCCTGGCTCCCGGCCACTGGGGGGCGCCCTGCCAGCCCGTACTCCCACGTCCGTGCGCTTCCACGCGTGTGGCCCCAGACGGCCTGCTCAAGGTCATGAGAAGCCGTTGAGCTTCCCGGGCTGCGGCCGCCTGCAGTCCTGCGAACGGAAAGCAAAGGGCAGCCCCAGCGTGACGGACAAGTGACCCTCCGGCGATGGCCCCTGTCCACTGCCCTGTCCGAGCAGTAGCCCTCCTGGTTTCTCCGTTCGTCCATCAGATCGGAGAAGGCGGCAGGAAAAAGCTGTCAGCTGTGTGATGGGCACAGGCGCTCTCATTCCGAGATGACTCTCACACGCGGCCCCACTTTCCTCCTCGAGGAGGGGAGCCACCACGGTGCTGGGTGGTCACTGTTCTGTAGACACGTGCGTGATGAGGGCCGTTTTGTAACAGCTTGGCTCCTGTCTAGGAAAGCCATCTCCGGACACCAGCCTGTCGCCCGTTCCTCACACGTTTGTGGGTTTTTTTTTTTTTTTGTCTTGACAGTTTGGTAACTCTTATTCGACATCCTTCCGAATTAGTGAATGGCCCTTCTGTTCAGCAACAAAACAAATGCACAACGTTAGTGAAGAATAAAACCGCAGCTGCAACTACTGCCTTGCAGCTGACATACCCACTGTTTACTACAAATGCTTGCTCGACTTCCGGAAACTCGAACCTCTCACAGGCACAGGTAGGGAAGATGCAATGGGGCTCTGCTCTTGGATGTTACATTTGAACTATCAGTTCCGGAGAGATTCTTCCTTTCATTGAACTTGGTAACTTCCTAAGATGGAGAGTCCTTTTGCAGCTTGGGAATTCCTCAGTGCACCTGAAGTCTTCAAATTGCTTGTTAATAGCTTTGGTATAGCTTCTGTACAAGCACATTTTTCTGTGTGCAGTAAAGAGGAGATGAAGTCGTGTGTGGCTAACGCTGATGTTGCCTCCTTTTCCAGAGCTCGGGGAACTCCTGCTCTGCACTGGAAGCCCCCAAGCATCAGGACATTGGACTTCCTAGAGCGTTTTCTTTCTGTTACCAGCAGGAAATTGAATCCACTAAACAGACTTTAGGCGGTAGAAACAAACCTTTACCTGAGCAGGTTTGGATTAAAGTAGGAGGTAAGAAAGGGAGCAGGAGATGGGGGCATTGTCTCTCCCCAGGTGTCACATTAGTGGCTTTTGGCCTTGAGGGGGTGGGTGGGAGGCTTAGACAAAAGAACAGAAGGAGATGTTTACATCTTGGAGCTGCTTCTCCCATCTCTTTCCTTAGGAATACTGAACATCGTAATCATACCTAGTGTTGGGCACGTAGAGTTTAGAGGCTCATTTTTCTTAAACTGTGAATAGTAAATAGTTTGATGAATTTTCAGTCCTCTTCAGCTTACATGCAAAACACTGAATAGCTTTTTTTTTTTTTTTCCTTCTTCTTTTATGGCTCGTGTGTGAGGCAGGAGCAGCTTTAGGAGAGGTGGATAACCATAGAAGGACAGTCGGCAGATGGGCACGGGAGTGAGTTGGGAGCAGAAGGCCGTAGGTGATTCAGAACGTTTTAGAGACAAACTGTTGAAGGCAAACTTTGCTGACTTGGGATGTGAACTCTCATTCCTTCTCTCCCTGGAAAATAAGTATTTGACACAGCTCGACGACACAGCTGACACTAAGCTGTGAAGAGCTGCAGAAGAGAGAATGGGCATGGAACGCCACCTGCCTCATGTCAGCCATTTACATTTGTTATGGTTCCTGTGACATATTTCATGCAAAAACACTGCACAGGGTACGAATACTCATATAGCCTTGTACTGATGGCTTGGCTGAAGGAGTAAAACATTACCAGTACTTTTGAATTCCCCTCTACAACCCGCTTGAAAAGTGGTCGCTGTTTGGACATTTCTGTAAAGCGAGTCTTCACCTTAGAGAACTGGCCTTGGTGGCATCTCAAGAATACACATCTCCATGCACAAGTTCGATGCCTGCTTTTCTGTGTTTGATGGAAATGTGACATTTCTCTAGTTGAAATAAAAGCTCTGATGCTGTGACTCCTTTTATGGGGAGAATCACCTACCTCTAAGGTGAAGGCGTACTTGATCTTAAGCCACTTAGATTTTGTCCTCTCTTCAGAGCATGGCTCTTAGAATATCACTTGTCACGTGAGAATATCTGCATAAAAGAGAATCCTTTCCAGGAGAAAAATACCTCCAGCTTTTTTGTTTTTCCCCCCATCCTGAATATTAGAAGAGTTGAACAACTTCATGGTTTCGTTATCCCTAGGTACCTGAACGCTGCTGATTAAATAATATAAATGGGGAACTACTATACCAATGCATAGAAGGGATATTTCAACTTAGTTATAAATCCAGGTTCCATCTCCTACCCTTCTGACTGGGCGCACTAGGACAGCTTGTACTGATTCCCTTCTCTGTGCTACTTGCTCGATAATGTTAGTATCTTGAGTTGAAAATGCCAGAAAAATCTACTCAGCTTGAATGAGGATAAGTTAAGAAGAATGAAAAATTAAAATACCACTTTTTTCTTCTTTTGCAAAGAAGAAGCGCTATGTAAACAAGCAATAAATAAGAGGAATCGAAGTAGAATACATCAGTTGGACACAAATGTAGAACGAAGAGCCCTTGGAGAGATTCAGAATGTGGGCGAAGGCTCCACAGCCGCACAGGGCGCTTGGCAGTCAGCGGAGTCCTCACAGTCCAATCTGGGGGACCAGACCCAGAGCGGGCCCCAGGGAGGAAGGTCTCAGCGTAGGGAGAGACATAACCGAATGGAGAGAGATAGAAGGTAATGCCGGAGGACATAGCCAGGTGGATGTGCGTGTGATTGTTAGACCTGCAAGCCTAGCGCAGAGAAAGCAATACTGGCGCTAGTGCTATATGGAAAGGGAGCAAGGGTGAGCATGAGCTCGGTTTTGCTCAGTGATCGGGGTCCCCAAGGCCACCCCCAGCTTTGATGGTTCTCTGGAAGGACTCATGGCTCAAGGTAGTTACAGCCAAGGCCACTCAGCACAGTCAGCAAAGGGAAGAGGTGAAAGTTGGGGAGACCAGGCAGACGCATTCAAGGACTTACCAAGTAGAGTCACACAGGACACACTAACGCACCCCCAGCAGTGAATTGTGTCAACACATATGAAGTGTTGCCAACCAGGGAAGTATGTTAGAGTATCCCACCCCTGGCCTGGCATACTCTCAAATTCCAGATGCCCCAAGAGGAAAGCGGGGTCAGCACATGAACCATATTGTTGGCCAAGCAGTTTAGGTGACGTGAGGCATTTGTCAGGAAATGGTGGTAGGAACCCTCCCAAGATGATACCAGTCAAGGGCCAACCTTGTAAGCTGATGTTTGAAAAAAGCAATCGGCCCCAGTGTTGGATAACTTGATTTTGCTCGGTTCTTTTGAAGATTGTTGCAGGAGGAAGACGTTAAACAGTTACTTCCATTGTTTGGTCTGTGATTTGTTGGTGTTAGTGGTCTGTGTAAAGTCAAAGAGCAGTGGGGTTTTGTCTGTCACAGCCAACACCACGTTTCCTTGATATGTTATTAATTCGTCATTTAAGGAGCTCTTACCATGTGCCCATTTCTGTCCTGTCCTCAGGGAACTTGGCACCAAGTAAGGTACACAGGTAACTGGGGGCTCCAGTGTTGAGCTCAAGCAGTTCATTTTCCTGTCAAAGGAACACACTAAAGAGAGAGGAGGGGGACAGCTGCTGTGTGGCCACACTTGTGTCCAGCCACATACACTAACTGAGGGACATCCCTTCTTCCTTCTCTCACATTTGGTTAACCAGCACTTACTGTATACCTGCTGTGTAAAAAGCCCTCCCCGCATGCTGATAGTCTCACTCTGGTTCCTCGTCTGTAGAACGGGGTCCTACCTACCTCATAGACTTGGGATTGGGACTCAGTGAGAGGGCATAGAGAGTGTTCCGTTTGGTGCCTGCTGGTGAAGAAGTAGCTGGTACATGCCAGTGGTGGTGGTTGTCACAGAGCCTCTGGTTGGAATTCTAAGTGTGCGGTTATGAAGATGACTGATGACCATTTTGTGTAAATCCAGTGTCAGTTTCCTTAAGACGTGGAATGAGTCATACACATGACAGTAAATGTAATTCGCAGGACTTAAAGACCTTCCAGAAGCTTCAGTTGTGAGCGGTGGTTGCAGGATGTTCCCAGCTGGTGGTCTGTGACCTGTTCTGAATCAGGCCCCTTGGAGAATCTGAACTCTGAATGAGCTCCCCGTACAGTGCTTGCCACCTGGAAGGCGAACAGTGTGATCTGTTGAATGTGCCCAAAAGTAGCACAACCACAAAATTCTGCTTCCAATTTCTGGAGTTTGTGGACCCCTCCCTGATCTGGAGCCTGGTCTTGTGCCTGGTCCCTGAGAACTCAACCAGGAAAATGCTCCAGAGAGTGTGGCCAGGCCAGGGGACAGGAAGGGCTCTGGGCTACTCTGGGGCTGTGGGGAAGTGGGACTCAGAAGCCCTCATAATACAGTGGTCAAGCCCTCAGCTGCTAACCAAACAGTCAGTGGTTTGAACCCACTGGCTGGGCCACAGGGGAAAGACCTGGCAGTCTGTTTCTGTAAAGATTGACAGCCTGCGAAACCGTTGGGGCAGTTCCACCCTGTCCTCCAGGGGTCCTGTGAGTTGAAATCAACTCGCTGGCAGGGGGTTGGGTTTGGGTTTGGGTGTGACTTCTGTGCAGGGATGACTGCCTCCCGAGTGCTCGGTGGCCTGGCTTCCTGAGCTCCTGTTCCTTAGGGTGATGTGCCAGGAAGCCTGTCCTTTGACACCTCCATTTTTGCTTCAGCTCCTCTGTGTTCTTTGGGTGTTGACTAGGCGCAGAATCCGTATTTGCTGTGATGAGTTGAATCTGTTGGTCCCGTTCTGCAATGCTGAGACAGACAAGGCCACGACTTTGCAGTGGACAACAGCCTTCTTGAAGTACATTCAGGAGAGACACGGAGATTCTCTCAAAAAGGTCAGTGTGGAGTTAGGCCAAGGGGGTTGTGAATTTTCACATCTGACCCATTGATGTTCTGTTTATCCTTACTCCTAAGAGATCCCAAACTCTCCTTTGTGTTTTGAAGTCTGATATCGAATACTGAGTCCCATAGGAACAAAGTTCTGCTTGCTGATGATGGAACAGCCCAGGTCTTGTTTCTAAACAACAGGATGTAAATGACTCTGAGCTACCAGTCAGCTCAGATTCCAGGCACCCACTGTTGATGGAGTGTTGTCCTGGAGCTTGGTGGCTCCGGAGACATACAAAATGCGGTTTTTGTCCTCAGAAAAGTTGAGTTGGTGAAAGTGATGAAAGCAAAAAAGAACAGCAGGGGGGAAAAAAAGGTAGATAAATGCCTGAGAAACAGGCTGGATTTTAGATGCTTTAGGAGGTCAAGAGAGAGACCCATTTCTGGGGCTGGATGATCGGGGAGACCCGGGAGCTCCAGGTCCCGCAATGTGGGCATCACTCCTTTGGTCCTCTCCCTTACGCTGTGGTTCCCAGTGGGTCACAGCAGATGTGCTGGGTGTTCAGTCTAAATGAGAGTTGAGTCTGTCCATTGGAGCTGAGGTGAGAGGCTGGTGGCATTCACTGGATGGGCTCTGGATTCTGGTGGTTGGGGCGAGTGGCTTTGTAGGGTCCCAGTTTCAACCCCAGCGTTTCCCACAGGCTGCACCTTGGCCCAGCTGCCCTGCTTGTGGCTGCCCCAGGAGTCTGACAAGGGAGCAGTGCTCCCTTTTTGGAAAGGGTACCTACCAACAGCTGTCCAGCTCCTCCCACAGCTGACAGTCCTGGCCATGCTGGATGCTGGGCTGCCCCTTTCGTGAGCCTTGTAGTGGAAGTGCCTTGTCTATTCCCCCTTTCTGTGTTACGTAATTTCTGTCAGTGCCCACTTTTCACTGTATGTGCAATTGGATTATTTAAAGTGTATTCCTCATTTTGTGCCAGATTTCCTCTAATTGGACCGTTTGTAGTAACTTATGACACAGATGCTCTTAACACTTGGCAGTCTAACTCAGTTGTTAGAGGTGGATTATTGTTTCAGTAAAATGAAGCTTTGTATTTTTAAAAATGATTGAATGATTGGTTCTTTGTCACCTACCAGCCGTAAATTAGTGTTGATGTAATTTCTTGAAGTATGACTAGGACATTTTACAACTTTTAGAAGTAATAAAGGCTTTTGTTATTGATCTCTAGGTATTTTCAGAGACTAAATAGATTAACAGCTAGTTGATGCTAGATTACACGCCAGACACACACACACAACTAGCGCTTCAGCAATATTTCTGAAGTTGAATGACATTGGACTTGGGGATTGTCCTGGGCCAGATCATCAGACCTTGAGAGAGACTAGAACAGAAGTAGCCTGACTGGCAGCACTAAGCTGTTTCCTTAGGGACTCTCCTTCGAGCTGGCGTGGACATACAAAGCAAAACATAGCTTAAGCCACCGTTTCCACATGTACCGTGCAGTGACCTAGACTGCACTCAGCTGTGCAGCCACTCCCCACCTCCTCCTCTGAGCTGTTCCTCTCCAACTCAAGTGAGCTCACTGCCCCTGAGGTTCCCACCAATCTTCCAATTACTATTGCCACTTCAATCCCACAGAGAACATTTACAAAGGGCATAATACTCAAGGCAGGTTTTTTTTTTCCTTTAAACTAGTTAAGCTAAACTATTGTTTGGTTTTAAGACGACTTCAGGGGATATTTTTGGCTTGAGGTTTAAAGATTGTCTTGGGATAATCCACCTTCCATGGCTCCAGAAAGTCTAGAGTCCATGAGATTTGGAGATTCTGTGCTGTATTTTGCCCCCTTTTGATCAAGATCCACCTATGGAATCTCTGATCAAAATGTTCAGTCAGGGTAGCTGGGCACCATCCAGGTCTTGTGGTCTCCTGGTGAAGGAGGCAGCTGTTCGTGGAAGTGTTAGTCACATTCCACTTCCTCTTCTCCATCCTCCTTTTTCCTCTGTTGCTCCAAGTGAATAGAGACCAGTCACTGTGCCTTGAACGCTGCTTACAAGACCCCAGGCACTAAGTAACGAACGAGGTGGTAGAACAGACAGCACTGAGCACACTGGGGTGTCCCATGAAACCGTGACCCTCAGCCTCCCAACCGAGGAACCAGATGCCACCAGGTGTTGGGTTGTGTGGGAGCGGCCTCTGCAGCCCCTCGCTCTTTTCCATTGGTTGTAGTTCTGTCTGTCACTCAGCTTTTTACAGGTGTGCCCCTTAGGGATAGTGTGCTTATTCCTAAAGGTGCGGGGTAGGAGAGTTGTAGGTGTTGGCCCTAAGCTGTTTCCGTGCTCACTGCATCCGTCTGTTTCTTCCTGCGGGAGCCAGGGCTGCTTGGAATTGGCAGGCAGTCCCTGGTCAGCTGGAGACAGCAAGTGGCCAGGTGGGTCAGGCAGTATCAGATGTTCTCATGAGCTGGGGGAAGGTAGTGGTGAGGGCATGAGGCTGCCCAGTGCTTCTTTGGACTGAGGGTTAAGGAAGGCTTCTGGGCCAGACCCACAGGAGGAGGGGGGGCTGGCCAGGGCAGAGCAGCAGTCCCTGAGTCCTCCAGGAGGGACTACCTTGGGGAGGGGGCATGGGGCTAGCAGTCCTGGAGTCAGTCAGAGAGGCAGTGACGACACCGTCCACCGTCGGAAGGGTGAGCAGGACAGAGCTGGCCAGCTGGGGTGTGGTTCTCAGGGAAGACTGGCCCCAGAGGTCCTAAGCAGGGAGTGACAGGTTACAAAGGGCTCTCTGGTGTCATGTGAACAGGGGGTGTAGGAAGGCGAGGCTGGGGAGGGGCTGCAATGGCTCAGGTGAGAGGTGGCCTGGCCAGGTGGCAGCAGAGGAAGAAGAAGACAGAGTTTCAGGATGTCTGCTGGTGCCAAACGAGGAGTCGGGGCGCCTGGGGTTCCGGGCTTGCGCCGGTGAGGGCTCTGGCTGATGGAGAGCCTGGGAGACTGGGAAGGAGTTAAGCTTTCAGTGTGGGGACGGGGTATGGGTGCTGAGAATGAGGGAGAAGTTGTGGCAGAGAGCTGACGCACCTGGAGTGATTGCTCTAATGAACACAGTGGGTGAACGCCTGTCCAGTCACGGACTCTCCACTGCTGACATTCACCACGTGTGCACACGCAAGTGCACACACACACACGCGCGCATGGTTTCAGAGAGACTGCACGAGCTCTCGCCTCACCGTGTTTCTGCACACGCCTCCTGAGAACAGCCCCAGCTCGGCCCTGTCCTCATCCTCACTAGGCTGTAGTAACCCTCCCGCCTCATCTGCTACCCTGTCACTTTTGGGTTCCCCACAGTTTCTGAAACGACTGCTCATGGTTTCCTTTCCAGATCAGTGTCTCACCCCGGCTGCTGCCTAGTGCTGGGTGCGACCCTTCCTTCCCTGTCAGCGACAGCTGTCCCTCCCACCACCACGTTTTGTTAAGTGCAGTTGTCCATTTGTACATTTTGAGTGCATGTTTCAGTGGCGTTAAGTATGTTCGCTGGCTATGTAACCATCACTACTGTTTGCAGGTGGTTGTTGGGTGAGACAGACCTGTTAGCAGGAACTCCCGCTCCCTGTCACCAGCCCCTGGTGATACCAGGCTCCTCCTCTCTGCTCTTCCCTCTATTAGCGGGACCACACGATGTTGTGACTGTCTCACTTCAAGGTCCATCCAAATCCTCGGAACTCTTGTCTCCATAGCTGAGTGATACTCCAGTGTGGATGGGCACTTGGGTGGTATCCGCCTTCTGGCTGTGGTGAACATTGGTGTGCACGTCCCTGTCTGAGTCCTGGCCCAGGTATCTCGGGTGTACACCAGGAACAGAATTGCCGGGTCACATAGTAACTCCATGTATAACTTTTTGACAACCTCACACTGTTTTCCAGTTATTTTTACTATGGTGACACTTTGAAGAGTTGAGGCCACTTGTCTGCAGGATGGCCTGCATTCTGGGTGTAGGTGACTCACCTTCTTTGTTGTGATTTAAATTTGTTTATTGTGATACAATTTTAAACTTACAGAAAAATTGCAAGAATACCACGAAGCCTCCTGCAGACCCAGGTTACCCAGGTGGACCTGTTGTCATATGGCTGCATTTGCTCTGTTCTCAGTCTCTCTCTGTGTAGGTGTACCCACACACACACATTTTAAAATTCTTTTCTCAATCGTCCAAGGGGTAGATACCCTGCTCTTTGGACCCACATACCTGGGTGTGTTTCCTGAGCACAGGAACACCTCTTAGGTGACCAGGATGCAGTGGTGAAATCAGGAGATGACTGTTGGCAGGAACTGTCACGTAGTGCATAGTGCACATCTGGCCTGTCATCCCAGTAGTGTCCCCTGCACTGTTTGAGGATCTTGTCCTGGATCTCCATGGTGTTGCGCTGTCGTGAGATGCCATTTTGAGTCTGTGATGTAACCTCAGAAAGGCTCTCCAGGTGACTGAGCGACCCGCTCCACCTCCCTGGCTCTGCCCTTCCCTCCCACACCCCTCAGTTGGATGACCTTGACTTCTGCTCCTGTCTCTATCATCTGAACTGGGGCCACTGCTTTTGTCATGTCATGGTGGGTGTCACCCCTGCTTGTCTGAGGTCAGGTCCTTATTGTACCTTCAGCCTCTGTTGTCACTCTGACTCTAATTTCAGTTGTCGTGGTTCTCGTCCCATGAAACCCTGGGGTCTTGGCTCCCCTCTGCCCTGTCTGCACTCTTGGCTTCTCTCCTCTGTTCTCATTTAGGTCCACTTCCAACAGGCTGTTGGCTGAGGGCCCTGAGTGCTTTGTCTTGTGCCGACATCATTTGTCCTCTCAGCACCTGACACACCTGGTGCACTCGTCACCTGGCATCCAGAACACTGTCCTGGTGTCCCTCCTCCCTCAGAGACAGCCTTCTCTTTTCCCTGCTTCTTGTCCATGGAACTGGGTGGCTGAGGGAACTAGAGCCTTGTCAGCCAGCTGGGTGGCTTTGCCAAGTCCCACCCATCCCCACCCTGTCCGTGGTGGGGATTGGCTGCCTGGCTTGGTGGTGGCATAGGGTGGGGTCCTGCCCTGCAGACTGGCACCAGCTCATACCTGGCTCCAAGTCACCTGGCCCTCGGGTCACCTCCTCCACCCCTCTTGTTCTGATGAGTTCATGGTTTTCATTCCTGTTGTCATTTTAGTGGAGTTTGAGGAGGAAGGAGGGCAAACACACGTTTCTGTTTCTTAAGCTCTGTCTCTGGCTCTGCTTCATTCTGTTCCTGAGCTGCATGTCTGCTGGGGTGGCCAGCCCCTCTGGGTGTGTGTGCGTGCGTGTGTGTGCGCGTGCGTGCACGCCTCGGGGTAGCCAGCTCCTCTGGGTGTGTGTGTCTGCTGGGGTGGTTGGCCCTCTCTGGGTGTCTGTGCTGGGGTGGCCGGCCCCTCTGAGCGTGTGTGTCCTGTGGGAAGCCAGCCCACCCTGGGGGTTTGTGTCTGGTGGGGCGGTTGACCCACTGTGGGGATTTGTGTGTGCATCTGCTGGGGTGGTCGGCCCACTCTGGGGGAGGTCTGCTGGGGTGGTCGGCCCTCTCTGTGTGTATGTTGGGTGGCCGGCCCCCTCTCACATTGTGTGTGTGTTGGGGTGGCCGGCCTTCTCTCTGCGTGTCTGGTGGAGTGGTCGGCCTCCTCTGTGTGTGTGTTGGGTGGCTGGCCCCCTCTCTGTGTGTGTTGGGTGGCCGGCCCCCTCTCTCTGTCTGGTTGAGTGGTCGGCCCCCTCTGTGTGTGTCTGGTGGAGTGGTCGGCCCCCTCTGTGTGTGTGTTGAGTGGTCGGCCCCCTCTGTGTGTGTCTGGT